TAAATAAAGGGATTCCTGAGCTTCCTCAAAGGTCAGAGGCTCACAACCACACATTTCCCCACCTCTCAGATACAAGCATGTTCCATAGGGGTCTGTATTTCATGTACAAATGCAACGTCACAGCACACAAGGCATCTCAATTCGTGTTTGTCTCTACTTCAAGAGCCAAAAACCACCAGCAACAGAGAAACATGGGAATAGGCAGGGAAACAGAAAATGGAAAGGCTTCTTGTGGTTCCAGATGTTGCAGCAAGCTTTGCAGAACACGTCAGGGTTTCACAGAAAAGCATTAATCAGACTCTGCAAAGCTTGAGGGGGAGGTGGAGGAGAGGCAAGAACTGCTGCTCTCATCAAGCAAGAGCACTGGCCTTGTCCTTAGCCAGTAATAAAAAAAATAAATAAGGTTGAATAAGCTGTGGATGTGGTAAGGAAATGCAACAAGTCAGGAAAGTGTCACTATTCGCAGTGAATGCTACAGTCTGATTTGCCACACGGAAGGCAGCAATGTAACTGCGCTCTACTGCTAGGAGTTCACATCGCTCTGAGGTGCCAATTTCAGCATTCCCCTTTATCTCCACTGTTCCTCCAGCCCTGGATTGCTCCAGGCACCATCCTGGCAGATAGCCCAGGCTGAGAAGCTGCCACTGCTCCATGCTCTGAAGCTGTTCCTGCAGTGCATGTGGGACAACCACTCGACCAGATGCAGATACAGCATGCCTGGATGCTTTCCTTTGCAGCACCTCTCCTACTACAGTGTCCCAAAAAATCAAGCACGTTCCTGGTCTTATTCATGGTCTAACTGGAAAACGTTGAGAATGAAGATGCAGCTCACAGAAGATAAGAGGAATCAAAAGAAAGCCACACATTATCCTTGAGGGACATTTAACCCAGGTGTATCCAGTGCTGGGCAGTACCACCCAAATATTTCATGACACTTATTTTGCAATATTTATGAGGTCTGAGATGCTATTAAACCTTCTGGAGGACTGCTTACTATGATCCCAACTCCTGCCACTGAGAACATAAATGGGACAAAACACGAATATATGTAAACCTCACACAGGCAGGCATGCCCTGGTGTGCAAAATTTTCCAAGACAAATATAGAGGTGGGGGAGTTTCCAGGGTTCAAACCATCACTTGCAAAGATTTATATACTTTTTTTTAGGTTCTTAGGCAACTGATCATCTTCCAGCAGTAAGCAAACAAAAGCTGGTGCCACCTCCAAGAAACACGAGCAAATGAAAGGGAGAGCTCCCAAATTCTCTAGCACCTCGCCCACTCATGCTCACCTGGAAAAGTCACCAACCTGTTCCTCCCATTCTGCCCAGTTTGAAAACTGTTGGGTTTGTTCCCTTTCTGTATCACTCAAGAACACAGCACCTAATTTCCCAAGCTTTTTAACTTCTACTGTAACAACTGCCCCTGAAAGCATAAGTGAGAAGAATGGAGAACCAGGCCCACGCCATGCAGTGTTTCTAGGAACAGGGCAGACAGTGGGCCAGGAATAAGCAACTCCTCACTTGCAGGCAGATAACTGACCTTTGGCACCAGGAGAGCTGGGGAATGCTGGTGGTTCAATAGACACAGCAGCAGTCCCTCCTGCAGCCTGGGACACCAGTGGGGCTTCTTAAGAAGCAGCTCAACAGTAACCTCAGCAAATGGCTTTGTGCCCTGCCTTACTGAAAGAGAACTAGCTCTGTCTTTCCAGAACACGGGGGTACAACCATAGCCCTTTTATAAGGAAAACATGCAGATGAAAACAGAACCAGGGCTTATAAAGCAGAGGATCAAGCAGGGAATCTGGGAAAGCACACAGTAAGACTCTCATTCTGTTGGATGAGACTATTACTTTCCTGTCTGAATACCTTAACATGTCACTTATCTCTGAAGCAAGCTTATCTGCTTTTTCTCCATACAGATGTCTGTCCTGCCCAGAGGATCTAGCTGTTCAACTCAGACAAACATGTCCTTGGGATTTAATACCTTTGTAAGGTCAATTCTATCAGTTGCAAAACTGAGGCAAACCCCTGCTAAAAATAAGACAGACAAAATATTTTTGAAGCAGAGTGATTGCAGTTCCTGGGTATTTTCACTAGAGCAACTCGCTAAGAGCCAACTCTGAGCCAGACCACCACACAGAGGCAGCATTCACCCTCATAAGGGGTTAACCAGCACAGGAGGGCACTGATGTCCCAGGGCCAGCAGAGATGAGGGGGGAGAGAGGCTGCTCCTACACCTCGGCAGAGCACAGCTGCCCCCAGCCAAGGAAACAGGACCCAGTATTGCATGTAAGTAGTGTTCATTGCTGATCTTGCCGTAAGAAAATTTCTTCTAGGAAAGTCAGACCGTCTGAGAAAGAATGCATGGTAATTACATGGTGCCTTCTGTGCTCTCCACTTTCTTAATAGAAGGGTGCCACAGAAGTAACATTACCCTGGCTTTGTTCCTTTTCCTAAGAAGACTTGTACAAAACAACTAATTAATGTCAGACTGTTAATGAGCTATTGCTGTGAGTGACTAGAATAAGCAAACAGAACGTACTTAACATTGCAGGTGCAAACCCAAGGACAAAAAACACAGTGGAGGAAGCCCTTCTGCCCGCTCTTCTCTCTCTCTCTCTCTCTCTCTCTCATGCTCCTTTCCTCAATAGGGCAGAATAAAACTTTTTTTGAACATAAAGACACACTTCCTATGTATTTACTTTGTCTGGCCAACACCAGCCATTCATGGACTGAACAAAGTGTGGACACTTTTCTGAGCTAAAACTAGAATACTAGCTTTTAGTTGAGAAAAGCTTTCAGTTCTCAGATCCCAAACGTACTTCTTGTGACACTGGCATCAGTGAAAGCAATTGCAGGGGCACTGTATGCACTGGGCAGCACAGCACAGTTGCTCATACAGCTTCATAGGAAGGGTTTCTAAACTGAGGGACCCATTGCTCATGTCAGTACACAAAAACCAGCATCTGGGCACGCCATCCACTGCCAAATACGTGATGGGAAGAGAGAAAACAGAGTTTCATCATTTAGGAAAGCAACTCCTGTTCTGCTCACTAGAAGTTCTGTATTGAACCTGCTGTGAGAAATCAACACCATCGAGGAAAACAAACAATTTTATGTTATCCTGGCAAACATAGCCAGGCTTTGTCAGCCTCATCTGTCATCCCCTGTCACACAGAACAAGGAACAGTACCAGATATGTAGAAAAGCAGACCATGCTGTCATTGTCATTTTCCAAGAAAAGCCATGCAAAGTTTATGCTTCCAGAAGACAAATCCTAATCCCAACAGTAAGGATAAGTTAAGGAAAAATTCATCATACTTCAGGGTAAAAATGCTTTATGCATCCAGCTACAAGATTCCAGTGTGCTCTTCATTACTCTTGAAAGAGTGTGAGACCAGATTACACTCTTTCAGAAAGCTACATGGTCAAAGTTGAAAATTATTTTGTTTCTTGAATTATTTGTTTACAGCCATGAACTGGTTTATAAAAACAAGATATGTGAAGCATGAGGCTTCAGAGCAAACCAATTACCATATCCCAAATATAAGTAATAGTAACAGTTTCAATGTGCAGCACATTAATCACAATCAGAAGACACTGACATGATAGTTCCTGCTAAGGTGCTAGCTGAAGAAGCAAACAGACACAGACATTACAGGCAGTGAGCAAGCAGATAATAGTTTTTCATTCTGAAGATGAAATCCCTATGGCATAATCCAGGTTTTATAGAAGCCAAGGGCAAAATTCAGTCACTTCAACAAAGTCATGCAGAGACCAGCAGTATCAATCAATAAAGAAAACTCTCAATTTAATCTAGACAAGAGGTGCTGCTAAGGTCTCACTAGAATCACTGAAACACAGCAGAGGAAGGTGTTCAATTCAGTACAGAAAAAAAGCATATACACACCTTTGAGAACATACCTTCAGTTCTCTGCATCAGCTACACATCTGTAGTTGAGTATTCCCAGTAGCTCAAAAGCATCCTGCCTTATACTGCAGGACTCAACCGAACCTCTAAGACCTGCACATAGCTGGGCTTTTTGGTTCCTTTATAGTTAATACAAAAGGTAAATTTGAGAACAAACCACACACACATGGTTTCCTCTTAGTTTTGGCTCTTCTCTTTCCTGTTCTCCAAGAAAAATTACGAACCATTCATTTATAGATATAAACAATTCAGCTACTTGAGATTGGACCAATTTCCCCTTGCTACTGTGAGTTTTACTTTCCTCACATACAAGTTACAAATTACTCTGAAAACATGGAGAGAGCTACAATGAACAATTAATTGAGTTGCATGATTAATTTGCTTCTAGCATTCCAGGCACAAATATTTATCTGTTCTGCTCATACGTTCTTATTTCCCATAGTGTTTTTACAAAGATTGTATTTTCCTTAAGAAAACATAAACGAAAAAGAAGCAAACAAAACATTTGATGTCTTGGTGAGGGCACTAGATTTAATTGCAAGAAGTTAGATTTTACATTGCCATCACTCTGCCTACACACCAGGCCCCCAAAAGTATTAAAGAGAAATTAAATTAAGAAACCACAACAATTTCTGAGATGCTTTCGTCAACAGAGCAACCTGTAGAGTGACATACTCACAGCCAGATCCAGAAAATGAAGAATATATTCTCAGAACATATTTCTGTTTTGACTGATGTACTACAGATAGGTATTCTTAATTAAAGAGAGGGATGATCTAAACAGCCCTACTGCTGGAGTTACCTCACACTGTTTGTTATTAGAGAGCCATCAACAGTAAAAAAGCATCATCAGGCTGTACTGAATGCTTCCTTTTCATCTTCATAGAGTAAGGCACGACTTTCATTTTGGACAGCAAAATGACAGACTTCTGTCTGGGTTGCACACTGACAAGAAATGAATGCAAAAAGGGAGGACAAATAGACTAACAATTGTTTCAGCATAGAGAAGATGGTGGGAGCGGAGTAGTACGAACAGCATCCCATCACTGGGGAGTGAGCACTCCTTACCTTTGGGCGCTTCCATTCAACTTTCCCTCGTGGGGCTTTTTGATAGAAAAGGGACTCATCTGAGGCTGGAAATTCAGGATCTTCGAAGAGCCGTCTCTGCTGGATACACTGCCTTTTCAGCTCGTGGTACTTCTGATCTCTGAAGAGTTGAACTGATGAAGACATATCTTTCTGTATAGGTAAGATGAATATTGGCTTAAGTAAATTATGAAGCCTCAGCATAGTGAAGCCCTCGCAAGCATTTGACAACAGAGCATATAATTTGTTCTAAACAAGATTAATTACTGATTTCTGTTTAAGAAACAGATTATAAATTCAATTGTGCTATGTAGTAGACTTAAAAATATAGAACAGTGTATATGTATAAGGATACCACTTTTGACTGAAGAGAACTCTTACTAGGAAAGAAATTAAAGGTTCCAGGTAAGAAACAAATACAGCACTTTGCTTTGTCTAATGGATTGGAAATGTAACAGAGTGGATCTTGGCCCTCAGTTTACAGTGCATGTGAAGAGCGAGGCCATCTCTATCCCTGCATTCTTCTATTGGCCACTAACACTTCAATTATCTTCTGCAACTCTTATGCCTACTTAGAATGGAAAACAGATTTCCACAGTTATCCATCTTAATTAAAGTGACAACACTTCAGCTAGCATTGCTGTCCTTGATTTTCATGTTACGTTCCAGGCAGCCAAATTCCCAGAAGTAGCAAACATTTGCAAATATTGTTGAGAATAATAATAACCACTAGCAAAGAGAGGGGGGGAAAAAAAAAAAAAAAAAAAAAAAAAAAACTTGCTTTCAGCCCTTGGTTCCAAGAATCATGACTATCTAGCTTTGCAAGTCTAGTCATAGTCACAGAGCTCAAATAAGTTGCTTAAGATGATTCTAAAAATCAAAAATTGACCACATAAATTACTCAGGACAGTCTGAAGCCTAGGGAACACGAGGGGTGAAGATGCTCCCATCTTTATAAGGGCACTATTTGAAGAAAGTGAAGAGCGTGTTTGAACTTACTCTGTATGGAACACTTCTTTTGTACAGCAGTTTCTTTCCTCTTCCTTCCTAGTATGGGTTAAGGATGTATCTCCCTTTCCTCGAGGTATCTATAGCCATAAAGACAAACGCAGGTTACCTCACGCCAGCTATAAGAGCTGAAACCACACGCCTGCAACAGAGAATGGTGTTATGTTGTCCTAGCAGCCTACTTGCTGTGTTGTGGTGCAGTGATCTCAGCCTGTGATCCCTGAGCAACGTGCATTACGCACAGCATAAGATCCCACAGATTTGCAGAAAACTGAACGAAGCCAGGCACAAGCATTTCCCAGCAGGCAAGCGAACACAATAGAGAAAACAGAAAGAAGTAATGAGGAACACTTGGAAACATCAAATTTGCGATGGCTGCTTTTGTGCGTGCAAGAAAGCTACTGTGGCCAAAACAACAACACAGGAATGGTTTTGAAACCCTCCCTCCTTTCTTCTCCCACTCCACTCCTTTCCTTCTCTCGCCCCAAACTAGGTAGTGTTTCAAGGATGTTCAGTGCTGCTCTACTGCCTGCGCTCGTGGGAATGGGTGCTCCTCCAACTCACTGCCATTCTTGCATCCACTCCAAAGCCTCCTAACCACACTCAAAGCAATTCTCCTGTAAGCACAACCTTGTTTCCATCAGCAGAATCTTACACAGCGAAGTGACAGAACAAGAAACAAGTCTATGTGATATTTGGATGAAGCAAATATTAAATGCCTTTCTAGGTGTTTAAATCCCCTCTTAGACCAAAAATCCAGAAATAATGTTGGCATACATCAGGACTGTAATTACTTGGAGTCAAATCCTAATACCACCGGGACAGAAAAATTTACTGCATCTTCAGCCAGGCCAAGGCTTCCCCTTTTTTGAACAGGACCTTATATTCTGTTACTGTGTTATCCAGCTTCAATGAAATAAAACTGCATGCAACCAACAGTTCGGGAAAAAAAAAAAAAAAAAAAAAAAAAAAAAAACTAATACTCTGCCATTTGTAATAATGTCCTTTTTTCTAATGTTTATTTTCTTGTTAATTATCCCCCTAAAACGTCACAAGACATCTCACTTATCAGATGGTTTCCCAAGACAAGATGAAATAGACTTGCTTCTTCCCCTCACCAGCCAGTTCTTTAAAGTCAAATTATCAATTATAAGAAGATAGCTCAGGGACAAAAGAAAAGCATTAATTTGGCTAATCTCAGTAGAATACAGATTATCTCATGATAACTGGTATTCTTGCTTATTAAAAACTCCCCACAGGCTAAGTAAGATTCTAAACTGATCCTATCTGCAAGACACGCTTGTTTTCAGAATAGCCCCAGGCTGATCAGGTTTTCAGCTGCTATTGCCTAACTCATCAAGATTGGTCTTTAATGACTTTGCTCCCCCATCCTTTCTATCTTCTGGATTGGAACAGGAGACATTCCAGGATTAACAGCCCCACACCCACCGCACCACAGCCAGTATTGCAACAACATACAGATTGCATTCATGAAATGATGACCTCAAGCTGCTGGCTAAGTTACCCTGGGCAGCACACCCTAGGGGGAATGCACCCAAGGAGAAGGAAGCTGCCACCCAGCCTCTTGCAGACTCCCTGTGCTGTCCTGAGCAAGGGGCTGGGCACAACCAAGGGGCTGACCGCAGTCTCTAAAACAGCCAGAGCACAGAGACTAAGGGATGGGCTCATTCTCTCCCAGGGTGTTCACCCACCAGAACACAGCCCGACTTGATCAAGACAGGCAGAAAGCCCCCGGTTCCCACTCCACTGACTTGTTTTAAAGCAGGTCCCAGCTGCTGCCCCTCAGTTGAGCACTGAAGCTCTCAAATTACCCAGCTGTGCTCTCCGTCCAATCTCAAGTTCACAGTATGCATTAAGATAGCCTTCCCTGCTCTTCAACTGATTTATCTTCGGTTCTGCTGGCACTCACAGCGCGCAGCCGCACTTGAGGAAAACACGAAGGCAGGTTTGGCAGCTGCTCTGTCCAGGATTCCCTACACTGTCATGTGCCATAGCATGAGCTGCGTACAGCTCAGAGAGAGCTCAGCAGTGCAGTCCTAAAAATATTGTACCACATTTTAGAGACTGTATAATCAATGAGTGTACAGATGTATGAGAAGCATACAGAGAAGTTAGGCTGGTCTTTAAAGAGCATATAGCTGGAAAGATTATTGCATTGGAAAGGGATAATGGGAAATGAATGGAAAAGCCTACCCGTGTCCTGGGCTCACAGAAAAAGACTCCAAGAGGCACGATCTCCTCTAGCAGTCAGCCCTTAAATGGGGTCTAGGAGAGGTGGAGCCAGGCTCCAGCCCTTCTGATCACACAGCTGAATTGCCTTCACCTGTGCTCCCACAGCTGACTCATTGCTCACCTCAGGTGATCAATCAGAGGTTCAGGCCGTGATTCAATAGTTCCCACACAAAGACCTGTGGCCACTCTGTCAAGGGAAGGAGATCACTCTAAAAGGACAGAAGGCAAAGAAGAAAAGAGGGGAAAAAAAAAACGAACAACAAAAACCCAGCTCTAAACGTCAGATATCATGCTTTTGCTGATTGTTCTTTGTCTGACTGTATTTAACAGCTTAGTTCTTTTCTCTTTTCTGGTCTCTGAGCTGAGCTCCCCAGCAGTTCAGCACAGCTGACCCCAAGGTTTCTCTGGAGCCATGACTAGCCCCTTAAGCCAGGAGTATAGAAGATCCTGCAACTCTTGACTTTCAAACACCAAGCTTTAAGGTCTTTCTCTTACCCCCCCCTTTTCCAGCGGAATACTTATTTCAACCAGCACAACCACTTCAAGCAGCACAGTGAAGCCAAGTCGCTACAGGTCCCCTCTTCCAAAGGACTCCACCCAAGGTTTCCCCTCAGCCTGGCAGTACAACCACTGTGCCCTTACTCACAGTTCACACTCAGAGATGCTTCCTCCATCACAGTGAGCAAGGCTCTGTCTTAATCGCATTCAACAGAGCTGCAAATACCAGCTCCTGGCAGCCTTAAATTAAAGGGACATCTACTTGAAATGCAGTTCTTCACAAGATCTGTAAGTATTATTCTCACTCTGGAGAGCCCCAGTCAACCACTCTTTCTTTACACTCACATTTTCCCATCTTAAATGTTCTCCTCCCAGCTGCTCCGCAGAGGGTCCACAACAAACAGGGCTGACTAACTGTTCAGACAGCCTGAGTGAAAATTACACCCTGGCTGCCATTAAAGCCGTGCAGTGAACACACAAGAACTAACACAAAAAGTCATCTCTTTTAAGCCTATGTGTGTAACTAACTAAGCAACGTGCAGGATAAAAAGTCAGAGAGGAGTTGCTGAAACTGTGGATCTAGCCGCCCCATACACGAACCCCTCTCACTGCCATCCCCACAGGAGGGGTGCAGGGACAGCACTGAGCTGGTTTTGCCTTCCAGAAAGCAATAATTTTCCTTCCAAAGGTGAACGCTGCCAAGCAGCTGCAGCAAAACCTCTATTCTAGATGGAACTCCTCTTCAAGGAAGAGTCTTGGCATGCTACACTACATTAATTCTGCCACATACCCCACTTCTCTGTTCCAACTGAAGGATTCAAAGGACTTTTCATGCACAGTGACAGGACTAAAAGGGCAAAGTAAATTTCTAGTTGATGTTTAACTCCACAGTGGAACAAGACACTGCTCCTTCCAACAAGCGGCACCCCCAGCCTCAGCACTGCACCCCTGTTCCAGGAGCCCCTGCCTGGGCTGAGCAGGGGGATGCCAGCAGGAACACACACTGTGCTCTGGAGTGGCACCCCAATTTTAACATATTATCCCTTTGCTAGCACCGAGCTTGCTTTTCTTTTGTGCAAATGGCAACATTACCAGTAACAACCAGTATTTGGTTCTCGGGTTCCCCTTTTGGAACTGGAGTTGTGAGCTGCCTCAATATTGCAGAAAAACTCTAACTCAAAGCTCTACTCTTTCAGAACCAATCTATCACTCAGCCTCAGAGCCTCTGTTTGGATTATAACAGCAACACAGAGGCTCAAGTGCTTAACTGTTTGCAAACATAGCTGCTTAGTGCTTTTGCAAACATCTCTTCCTCAGAACTCCTAGCTTGCTTCAGAGCAACCAAGCCAGGGAGTGCCTCCAGAAAAGCAGCCAAAAGCTTTAAATTATTCTGAACTGTTTTCCTATAAAACTCCTAATTGAAAATGCTTCCAGGACTTCAGCTGGAAAAGGTTATTTCCTTCTGTTATAGGTTATAACTTCTCCTTCTGTGCAGAAGGTCCTTACAAAACAGTGACTCTGCAAATTTGCATTATGTGTTGGGGAATTTAAAGCGGTTGCAAAACTTCTGCTTCAATACACAGCGGCTTCATGATCTTGACCATTACTTTCCTACTAATGCATCAGCAGCATCACTGCCCATTACATTAAACATTCCTACTGGAGAAATTTACTCATTCGTATTCTTTAAACATTTCAACACACTAACTGCACTGGGAGTCTGTATGCTATAATGTGTATCCTCTGCTCTTTGGCATCAACTGATTTAAAGCACAAAGCCAGTGTTAAATTCATATTTTGTGGATATGCGATTGCATTAATAAGAGCATGCTCAATTCAGATCAAATTTGCTACACAGGGTATTTCATAGCACTGAGGTCCCATGTTAACCATGGTCCTTTTCAGTTTGGCATAGCAACGCTCTCATCACAGGACAAAACTCCAAGTGTTATTGCAACCTTTGAAACAGCACAGCGGTGCCATGTTAGCCATCCTATCATCCAGCTTTGAATTTTCTACAAAATAAGGTTAATTTCACTATTTATGGCCCTCGGTACTTCAATAGGTATATAAAGGTTTCTCTGTCTCAGCTCAAGAATTCACTGCAGGAAAGAAACACAAGCTTTTCTTTTTTCTAATACAAACAGTAAGATGCCAACATTGTGCTGCTGCTCAGTTTTGCCATACTTTGCATTCAAATCGATAGATCAAAGATCACATATTTTCAGCTGAGAACATCTGCTTCCAAGCACAAATTCGGGGGAGGCTAACTAGATAGCAGGAGGAGGACTGGCCACAACTGTCTGCTTTCATGGATGGTATTGAGGAGCAGCAGAATCTCCTGGCTACAAACCAAAGTTTTGCTATGATAACATTAATCACAACATGTTCCTTTTCTTCTACTGCAACATGACAGTGCTCAACTAGGGGTTTTTTTCAGGGCTCACCGAGACAGAAAGTTTTCATATACCAGTAACTGGAAGACAAGATACAGCTTCTAATGCAAAGCCCACATCCAGCAGAATGGCTCAGGGAGAGGAGTTTCAAGACCAACTGCGCCCTTCCAGTGAGCCCAAGAGCTGAACAGGAGCCCTACCAGGAATCTTGCTATTTGTTTTCAATTTGCAATCCTCACTGCAATCCACACTGATTCCCCTGCCCTCATGAGACACAAGCTGCACACAGAGCTACCTGTCCCACCGCTAGGGTGGCAGTGAGGGGACAGAACACAGCTCTAAGTCACTGAGTGCTGACACACAGCAGCAGTAATTCAAGGCAAGTGCTGACCAGCAGTCTTGTTATCTCTCAGATGCAGAGGAATACACGAGAAACTACAAATGCAGTGCTGAAGCATCACCCCTTTCTTCCAACCGTTCTTCTAGTTGGGCCACAGCCAGCAAAAATGCAAACAGCATTCTTACCCTGCAGAATGGCAGTGCTGGATTCACAGCTTTAGCAAAGTAAATCCTTTGGAGTGTGAATTGCTGGCTAATTGCACCACCTCTCCCACAGTTGGAAGCACAGCTGTTCAGTGTAGGAGGGCATGAGCTGAGGGTGCTGGGGCTGCACAGGTGGAGCAAACAGCAGCTGAGAAAAGCTGCACTTACAGGTGATTACACCCGAGAGGGAAGGCTCCACCTGGCATGAGCAGATTGCCCCACAGCCTTCAACCCAACTGAAAAAGCATGCAGTAGTTTTTTTGCTACCATGTTTTGTGTGACCCCTATCCCTATCCAAACGTAAGAATCAAACTCCTGCAGGGCTTTTTGCACCAAGAGCGTGAGCATCTTGGCCAGCAGGGCAATTTCATTGGCAGCCACTAGTGGAAATCTACACTGCACCAAGCAGCTCTCTCTGAGTAACGTGTGGCAGGCAGTTAAGTTTTTCTGAGTACATTTTAGCCCCAAGACACCCGTGTTTTGCCTGTGTTCCGCTGCAGATGCATAAGTCCCTTGTTAGATCTCAGTCAGCATTCAGAAATTCAAAACACTCCGCACAGCTGGGCTCGAAGGGGCTCTATAGAGCAGGCAGGGTGACAGTACAAGAATGAACACAGAGCACAAAAGTGGAACAGCAGGAAATGCTTTTCTAAATAGCTGTGCACCAACACTGCCGATGTGCGTTAGAAGTGCATGCCCAGCGATGCTGCTTCTCTTTCACGTCAGAGATTGCCACACACCTAATTTTGGTGCCGTTTCCCTAGTGGAAGGAAACCTGTTTGGGCCTGTGTATGTTGCACAGAGTTCAATTTTGTCCATCTTGATTCTAAGCTGACATATTTCTCTTGTTACCAATGAGCAAGTGAAGACACAAAGTGGCCAAAGGGCACATTTAAAAAAAACATCCAGGCCAACCAGATTTCCCAATCTGCACAGGCACCAGCATATTTTTAAACAACGTGACCCTCAGTGGCATCCACTACAGTCCTGATCCCAGAGAGATTTACAGCTAATTGCAGAGAGGTACCATTCCAGTTTTGAATTCAAAAGAAAGTAATTTAATATGATGGATGCTGATTGTTACAATTAACATTAATGCAAGTCAAGAGATCTATAACAAACTGTAAAGAAAATGCTAACAGCAATGTCAGCCAACTTGTTCCAGCCGTGCTTTTGTACTGAAATCATGGGAAACAATTCTCTTTAGAATTCCAATATCTCTCCATCCTGTCTTTTCATAAAAGCTAGTTCAAAAAAGGTCTACAATCAAATTAATGGGTAACTCTGTCAGGCTACTCCATTATTTTATGCATCCACTTATCAACTATTGTAGACACAGTATAAAAGTCTCTGCTCTGGAAAAAATAAGAAAGATGAAAATACCCACTTGAATTTCCACAGTGAAAGAATCCACACTGAGAACTGGCATAATTTCAGAAGATCAGAAACAGTATGGAAAATGAAATTATATGAGAACTGAGATTAAATCACACTTCATCATTCTGACCCCCTTATTTGGTATAACTGATAAAGATGGCTGTGTTGGTGCTTGGCTGGTTATTCCAGAAGTAATGAGAGCAGCCACACTTTGCAGTAAATCACAGTGACTGCTTGGCTCAGTGTTAGCACACAACTGCGATGCCATGCTCTGCAAGAAATGTATCTTAAAGCAGTAGACAAAAGCATTTTGTCACTGTGCTTGCTGATGTGCTGGTTACTAGTAACAAGTGTCCATCGTGGTGCTGAAGCTGTAAATCAAGTAAATAAAGGTTTCCTTAATACCTTCTGCACTTACCTAGCTGACATGGGTCCTGCTCCGAGGCACATCAAACTCCAAACGGACTCCTGCAAACAAAGATCCCCTCAGCTTCTTAACCTGAAACTCTTTGGATTGTACCAAGAGCACATCAGGAGAGGGGTGTGTTTCAGGATGACCCTTACAATGATGATGAGTCACAAGGGACTCCAGGAAACAATCTGAGCTGACCCGAAATGCAGAGTCTTGTTTATTCCTGGTAAATTGTTATCTGTAGTTGTGGCTGTAACTGGGAATGAAATTTTAAAGGAGGAGATGAGGCAAGGCTGCTTGGCAGGAGTTGCAGGCATTTTTTTGTACAGAAAACAGGGCAGATTAATGTGCATCATGAAAGAAATGATGTTCCTTATTAGGCTGTGCACTGTTCCTCAGCTGCATAAAGCCACTGTCCATGCCTTGGCCGCAGCAGGCCCTTCTGATAGCGGCCTGTCCAGGCTGTGGGGAAGAATCACACAGCATTTCTGTGGGACTTGCAGTTGGGTGGCGGTTAGCAGACCACGAGATGCTGCAAAACCCAACAGGTGGCTTTGTGCCCTCAAGCAGGATTGCTGTGGCAAGCCCAGAGCAGCCTTGGGGCTGGCTCTTGCACATTGCCAAGTTCTGTCTCCTTGTTTGACTGCAGTCTAGCATGTGCCTAAAAGATGCTATTTCTATTTCCCTTGCAGAAGGGAAAACAGCCTGAATGGGGAAGATGTCCTGGGAGAGCCTCAGAACTCCAGAGGTCCCAAGTTGTCCAGGAAGCAGAGCTGTTCCACAGCTGGGTCAAACAGCTCTTTGTGCCTGAGATGTCACAAAACTGCCCAGGCTCCCACGCACTTGTCCAGTCTTGCTCCTCTCCCCTGGCACACAAGGGAAGACAGGCCAGTTCACGTATAGAAGTCGGGAAAATAACACATTTTTCTGTGCTGAGAAAGATGATTTTTTAAAAAGGTCAGAAATAAATTCCCCTTTAAAATTGGTTTTGGTGAAACAAGCTTCTCTGCATATTCCAGAGCCACAATTCCAGAGCCACAATTTCATTCTGGGTAAATCCTGAACATTTGGGTTAACTTGACATGAAAGTTTTCTCATTTAAGGACTATAAAAAAAATTCACCTTCACCTTTAGGCAGCTTTCACTTACATTTTTGTAGATGTAGCCCAGTTCCTAAACAAGTATCACTTCAGTAGACATTGCAAATTGTCATTTGCACCAGTGGTCTTAAATATTCTCCCCAATTTGATTCTTCCATTTCATTCTTCCTATTATAGCATAGCTGGCCTGAGTTTGCCAATAGGCCCACTCCTCCCAAACCTTGCTATTCAGCAAATCTACTTGCCTAAAGGAATTTGATCTCAGGGGACAAGTTACATGCAAAAAACACTATGAAGACAAAGTGTTAAATAAGATCGTAAATCTCTGTTCTGCAAGGCTCACTGTAGGACTGCTTGGTTTCTTACAAAGCACTTACCCAGCTTCCTTTTGAAGGCATGCTGAAGTTTGGACAGAAAGTCCCTGGAAGCTGCCACTACAGCTCTAGCATGTAATGCATTAAAAAAAAAAAAAAAAAAAAAAAAAAAAAAAAAAAAAA